CCTGAGCTGCTCTCACCCCAGCTTGAACCTGAATGAGGGAAAATAAAGGAGTCAGTGCCCTGCCACACTCGTCCCCAGGGCGTCAGGAGGAGCACGAGAAGCTGCGTGGCAGCCGACAGGAACATTCACAAATAAGAAACGCATGTAGTGCTGGTGTTTTCCAGACTTAAACCACCAGAAGGCTACTTTGGGATGGCGTAGGACTTAACGTCTGTAGCGACCCATTTTGTTTCCTTTCTGAAGTGTTTTGAACACGTTAACACAGTTGTAAGTGGCTACACTGTTGTCAGATAAACGTAACCACAACAAAAATACAGAGATAATTGCTTTGACTCTTGTTGCAAGCTCAGAAGGGTTTGGAAGCCCATCTGAAGGCTCCCTGTACTACCGTGATCTAATTCATTACGGTATGAGCCATTCTGTGAAAAATGCCTAAACAGGCAACTGCATTCAGCTGCACAGATGTCAAACTCGGGAAGCGCTTGGGTGGATTGGTTCATACTAAGGACAGACAAAACCATCAGTGCCACCCGTGTTACTGCTGCACACAACACCCAGCCCTGCCCCCAGTTCTAGGCAGGAGAAAGTCTGCCGCAGTGCAGCTCAGGAGCTACAGACCAGCTTTTGCTTTTGGCAAGACAAACGGTACAGATGTTAGCCAACAGTGACAGATCATCTAACCAAACGCACAGGAGATTCCCTAGCTTCATAAAACTAAACCCCTCCATGCACAAAAAGAACAGCCTTACCAGGGGTATATCTGGCATCAGAATTTCCCCATCCTCCACCCAAACGAAGGGAATTATCCCAAGTGGACAACGGTGGCTTCTGGCCTGTTAGCCCTGGAGGTGGGCGGGACGGAGCAGTGATGCTTTTAGGTGGCAAAGGGACCTTCCACAGCTCATGAGCCAGAGAGGTGTTAGTGACTGATCCAGGAGACCACGTTGATTTGGAATCACTGTTTCTGGCTACTAAAAGACAAAGACAGCCACAGTCACTAGGCTGCTGGAACCGTCACCTTGCTACAAACAAAAGCCGCTAAATTAGAGCGAAATCAAAACAGCTACTCTGAAAACCAGTGAAGCTGCCACTCAGACAAGACCTCAGCTCTACTTTTTACTAACATTTAGAGTCCCTCTGAAGCAGGTGAAAGGGAAGAAACACCGGCTCAGGGCAATATAAGCAGACATCACCTGAAGTGCTTTGTGCTGTACTGCTGAGGGAAACATTGTAGTTGGAGGCACGAATGGATGACCAGGCACTAGTTGAAGGCAGCGTGGTGTTCAAAGATGAGGATGACCCTGTAATACAGGCAGGAGTCAGTCAGAGCACAGTGCCCCACCAAGGCAATAAAAGGCATGACTTGTGGTGCAGGCTGAACCCGCCCGCACAGCTGGACGAGGGACCTCCTCCGCTCTTCTCAGTCCTCCCCCCGGGCCCAAAGGCACGCGGTGGGGCAAGCAGGCTCAGCAGCAGGAAGCCCCCTGTGCTCGCTGCCAGACGAGCTGCTTACGCTGCTGCTGCAACGGCTTCGCTGCCAAGCTCTGCTTGCCTGCTTCCAACCGCGCTGCCTCGGCGCCCGCGGGCAGATCAGCAGCGTTCGCTCGCTCTACCCGCATTCTTGGAATAGCTGTTGCACTGCAGCAAGCAGCAGCGCCTGAGCCAAAGAGGAGCTTTTTGGCCGTGAAATCCACCATACGGAAGATAAACAAGGAGATGAGCAAGTAGCAAAACGCATCTCCAAGTAAACAGTCTGTGTGTGTGTCTGAAGGAAGATCGGTGCACAGTCAGAAAACGCAGTGCCTGAACATACCACTGTTCCTGTCCCTGAGGTGGTCAACTTCCCGCACAGTATTAATTGAGAGATTGTTTATGACACTGCCAGGAGTGACGTAAGGGTCAGTTTCAGGGTCGATGTTTGGATAACCTTTCCATGGCTCGCCAGGACGAAACTCTAGGAATACAGGCAGAAAAGCAGCTTACTTTGATGAACCTTTTTTTTAAAGGAAACAGCTGTCTAAACAATACAACCCTTACTGGCTGAAGAGCCAAACCCCCAGTTTTAAGCATTTAATTTACTTAATTTAGCCTTCTTTTCACTTTACTCCTTCCTTACTAGTTCTTCTGGTCCTGTCTCACCAGGGTAAACTCTCCAAGCGGGGAGATACATTTCTCTCTGTACCATAAAACCAGC